TTAATTTATTGTAATCTTTTTTAAATTGTAATTTTAAGTTTAAAGCTTCGTGTTATCGATTACTTTAGTTCTTAGATTGTGTCTAGTGTTAAAATATATTTATGGGTAGTTTCATGCTTTCACATAGTTTTGGTTATTGGGATAAAAGCCATGACAACATTTTTTTATAAATTTATCTTAATTTAATTTTTATTGAAAATTTTGATATAAATAAAATTTATCTTTAATCTTGTTAATACTTTTGCTCTTTGAAAAAAAATATGTTTCTGGCTCTTCAATAAATATAAAATAATTTGTCTTGCATGAATGAATTTTGGTTTAGGATTTAATTGTGTTATTTATGTTTGTCTATCTGTAATTTATTTAGGTTATTAGAAAATTCATGTTTACAGAGCTGTTATTAATCATAATCGAGTTGTTAAACCAAGGAAATTGTGGAGGTTTATTTATCATATATACTATATATATATTATACAATTATATTGGAGGGAGTAAGTTTAAAAGCATTTTCAAATTTTTAAAAAGAAATAAAAATACTTTTCAATATATATCTGTTTTCTTTGAGGTAGAATTAAAGTTTCAGTTTTTTAAAATTTAAAGTTTCAAGTTTTCAAAATCGTTATCTTTTCAAAATTTCTAAGTAGACATTGAGTATTTATAAAATCTTTTTAAAATTTTTAATTTTTAAATTAGTTTATTGTAATCTTTTTTAAATTGTACTTTTAAATTTAAAGCTTCGTGTTATACATGTGAATTTTGAAAATATAGATTACTATAATTCTTAGATAGTGTCTACCATTAAAAGATATTTATGGGTAGTTTCATACTTTCAAATGCTTTTAATAATTGGGATAAAAGCCATGACAACATTTTGTTATAAATAAAATTTATCTATAGTATTGTTAATACTTTGGCTCTTTGAAAAAAAAATTTGTTTTTTTTCTTTTCTAAAAGTTTAATAATTTGCCTTGCATGATTGAATTTTGGTTTAGGATATAATTGTGTTATTATATGTTTGTTTTTCTATTTATATCTAATTTATAAAGATTTAATTTAAAATTAAAATATAAAATAAAATATCTAGTTTATAAAGATTTAGATCATTAGAAAATTTATATTTACAGAGTTGTTATTAATCATAATCAAGTTGTTGAACCAAAAAAATTGTAGAGGTTTATTTATCAAATATACTATATATGTTATATAAAAAATTTTGGTTTTCGTATGTTTTCGCTAATAAATAGTTATATATATATATATATATATATATATATATATATATATATATATATATATATGTATTTCCTTGGAGTTACGGCAGCGTAATAGTCTGTTGGGGGAAACAAATTTATAAACCTGCGTTAATAACCCGTTTTCTATTGTACATAACGCGTTAATAAGTTTTATTACATGTTTTGTTCAATGTTTTCTCCTAACGCATGCTTTATGACGCTGTCTGCGAAGATATGTTGTTTGTTTCTAAATTTTTTTTTCTTTATTAGAAACAGAATAAATTTTAACTTTTTGTATTAAGTTTTTGCTAATATGGTTGCAGGTTTTTCTTGACTTTTATCAAATAAACTTAAGAAACCTGTATTACTTTTGATGATGGCAAATTAATTTTGTTTTGCATTAGTTTAGATTCTTTATATATTTGTTTTGAGAATTTTTTCTTTTAATTTTTTGAGTAAAATTTTTTTAGTTATTTATTAATTTTTTTTTGTTTTATTGTTAAATTTAGAGTCGTAAAAAAAAGAAATAACTAGTGTTGCTTTGATAAATATGTTTAATCAAAATGATGACATTGAAATGAATGATAGGCTAGATGAAGTTATGTATTTACAAAATGATGTAAGTGCTATAAGGCGTGTTGAAAATAGTCGTAGACGAAATGAAAGAAATAGACTTAGGCGAGATGAAATTAATCATTTACAAAATAAAGAATCATTTAAAAAACGTTAATCGTCGCCAAAACAAAAGAAGAGCTGCTGGACAAGGACGAATGTATTCTATAGCGAGAAGTAATGCTATTCCAGATTATAATTATTTAGGAGAAATGAATCAAATTTGTCAGCACTGTGGTGCTAAGCAATTTCCAGATGAAACGCATTTTCTATGTTGCCATAATGGTAAGGTAGCTTTGCCTCCACTTTCACCAATTACACAAGCTTTACAGGATTTGTTTACAGGGAGTTATGTAGATCGTAATGCTAATGCTAATTTTTTAAAACATATTTGAAATTATAATGCCTGCCTTTCTTTTGCTTCTTTTACAGCAAATGTAGTTCAACCAATGAATCATGGGCTTCCATGTTTTAAAATATGTGGCCAGATTTTTCATCGTGTAGGTAATCTTAGGCCAGATCAAGATATTCCACCAATATATTCTCAACTATATATTTATGATCCACTTGCTGCACTAAATTTTAGAATGCAACACTGTGGTAATGGTCTTTGTTTACGTGATTTAATGTTTCAATTGCAAACTATAATTATGGAACAAAGTCCATTTGCTCTTGCATTTAAAACATGGCTTAAGTAGAAGATGAAGAAATTCGTAAGGCGGCTATAGAAGGTCGCTCAGCTTCTGTTGTAAAAATCTCTTTACTTGAAGGCGGTGATAGACGTCGTTATAATCTACTTTCACAATATGAAGTTGCAGTTGTATTTGTTGGCGAAGATGGTGCTCCCCCCACCTTCCAGGGAAGTTGTTATTTACCCAAGAGGTCATCCTTTAAAAATTGTATCAAGTATGTCAGCTAACTTAGATCCTATGGTTTACCCGCTATTTTCCCAAGAGGTGATGCTGGTTGGCATAATCAATTGGTGCATAACCCTGAGCGTGCCACACTGGTTAGAAATCATGTTACATTATTTCAGGTCTACAATTATAGACTTTCTGTTAGGCAATTTTTCTGTTCATTATTTTATGGCAAGAAACTATTTCAGCAATATGCTGTAGATGCATATGTAAAAATTGAAGGCCAGCGTCTTGCTTTTATCAGAAATAATCAAAATAAGCTGAGAAGCGAGCAGTATGATGCCTTACATGAACATATTAACAACATTGCCAATGATCGTAATATTAGACCAGGACGAGTAGTAGTTTTGCCATCATCTTATGTAGGAAGTCCTAGAGCTTTAAAAGAAAACTTTGAAGATGCTATGGCAGTTATTAAAAAGTATGGTAAACCAGATTTTTTATTAGGCAAAGTTGTAACGCATGTTCAGGTTATTGAGTTTCAAAAGCGTGGTTTCCGCATGCCCACATTTTACTTCATTTAGCAAATGATGATAAACTTGAAACATCACAGGATATCGATAATTTGATTTGGGCAGAAATTCCAGATCCGATAGTTAATTGTGAACTTTATGATATTATCAAAACTTGCATGATTCACGGCCCATGTGGGATGCTGAATCCAAATTCTCCCTGCATGAAAGATGGGGTGTGCAGCAAAAATTATCCTAAAGATTTTAATGCCAACACAGTAGCTGTTCACAATGGTTATCCGCGCTATAGGCGTCGTGATAATGGGTTGGTTATCAATATTAAAGGCAACAATGTAGATAACCGTTGGGTGGTACCTTATAATCCTTGGTTATCAAAGAAATATCAAGCCCACATTAATGTTGAAGCTTGCATGTCTGTAAAGGCTGTTAAATATTTGTACAAATACATATACAAAGGGCATGATTGTGCAAATGTTTTGATAAATGAACAGGTTAATCACGATGAAATAAATACTTTCTTAGATTGTCGTTATGTTAGTGCACCTGAGGCACATTGGCGAATATTTGAGTATCCCATAAGTCATATGTCACACACTATTATCCGTCTTAGGGTTCATCTTCCTGAGAATCAGATTGTGTATTTTAGAGAAGGAGAAGAACAAGTGGCGTTAGATCGTGGTGCTCAACGTGATACACACCTTACGGCCTGGTTTAAATTGAATTCTGAAAATGAAGGAGCCCATCACTACTCATATGTTGACATTACATATCACTTTGTATTTGATGATAAACATTGTAAATGGAAGGTTAGACAAAGAGGTGGAAATAAGGTGATAGTAAGAATGTATAAAGTTAGTCCAACAGGAGAATTATTTTTTCTTAGATTGTTACTTTTGCAAGCAAAAGGTGCTTGGGAGAATTTGCGTACTGTTAATGGAATAGTTCTTGAAACCTTTCGTGAAGCGTGTGTTTTTAATGGTTTGTTGCAAGATGACACTGAATGGCAGAATACTCTTTCTGAGGCAGTTTTAACGCGAATGCCTAAGCAAATCAGGCAGCTGTTTTCAATTATTTTAACCTTTTGTGAACCTGATGACGCTATCTGATTATAATTTGCCTGTTGTTGATGAATTCATAGATTTTAATCTAGAAAATTTAAATGATAATGTTCGGCAATCAATTGACGGAGCTAATAGAATGAGGCCGCTTCTTAATGTCAATCAATTAAATGTAAGTAATGCTGTCCTTGCTGCATTGAACGAGCAACCAAGTGTAGAAAATCAACATTCCAGATTGTTTTTTATGGATAGACCAGCCGGTAGTGGCAAAACTTTTACATATAATTATTTGATTGCTGAAATGAGCAGTAGGGGTGTTAAATCTGCTACAGCTGCATGGACTGGCATAGCAGCTACTCTTCTTACAAATGGATCTACGCTGCACGGCTTATTTAAACTTCTTGTCCCAATACTGGATAACAGCACATGTAATGTGACTCCTAACTCTATTCAGGGACAATTTTTAAGGCAAGTTAGTTTGTTTATGCTTGACGAGACATCCATGATTCCCAAACACGCTTTAAATGCAATCGATCGGTTGTTAAAAGATGTTTGCAACAACAACTTTCCAATTGGAGGAAAGTCGTTCTTTTTAGTGGTGACTTTAGGCAAATTTTGCCCGTTGTGAAAAGAGGGAGACCAGCTGAAGTTGTAGAATCATGTTCTTTACAGTGGCAATGGGTGCAGAAGTTTACATTAACTGAAAATATGAGAGTACGTGATGGAGAAGGAGATTTTTCCGAATGGCTGTTAAAACTTGGTAGTGGAACAATACCTGTCAAGGAAGAAGATCCTTTTAAGGGATGTATTGAAATACCGCAACAGTGCATTATTAGAAAAAACGAATTAATTGTTCAAAAAAAATTTGGAGATGCTCAACTAGATGATTATGCTAAACGTGTCATTTTAACACCCACTAATGTGGATTCATTGTCAATCAATAAAGAAGTGCTCGAACGCCTACATGGAGAGGTCAAAACTTATTTAAGTGCTGATCAAATAGACACTGACGATCTTAATGAAATAAATAATTTCCCTGTTGAGTTTTTGAACAGCTTAACTCCTTCAGGTATGCCTACTCATTGTTTAAAATTGAAAATTGGTTGTGTAATTATGCTACTTAGAAATTTAGATCTTAAAGCTGGGCTATGTAATGGAACCCGAATGAAAGTTTGTGCTCTCCAAAACAATTATATTAATGCAGAGGTTTTGACAGGTGTTTCTGAAGGTAAACGGGTATTTGCTCCTCGAATTCAGTTGGCTCCATCAGATTCTAATTTACCTTTTGTTCTAAAACGTCGTCAGTTTCCTGTCAGATTGGCTTCTTCGATGACAATCAATAAAAGTCAAGGTCAAACATTTGATAGAGTTGGGGTATATCTAAAATAACCGTGTTTCTCCCATGGTCAACTATACGTTGCATGTTTAAGAACTAGAGCATTTAATAGTTTGTTTTTCAAAATTGATAAACATCCTATTTAAGGTATGGTAGGTAAAAAATACTACACAAATAATGTTATATTTTCTAATGTTCTTAATTTATAGTCTTAATATTTTCATTTCTAAAATTTACTGTTTGTAGGTTGTGAGTACATTTTGTATGTGTAACTTTAATATTTTTATTTTTTTCATAGTTTTTGATAAATACATTTGTCATTTAATATTGTTATATATTGTGTTTATATTTGTTATATGTGTTATATGAAGCCATATTTGTTTATAGTTGTATATATGTTTACATTATGTTGTTTCCATGTTTTCAAAGTGGTGTGACTTAGTAATATGTTAAGCAAGATTGTTAACCTTGCCAGCCAAGCGGTGTACTTATAGCAGAGGTGTGACTTGGCAGCATTTTGTGCCAGGCGGTGTTACTGCCTTAGAGCTAGGTTGTGTTGTCTAGCTTTTTTTAATTATTCTGGAAACACTTAATGTCTGGTAATGTTTTGTGTAATGTGTATAAAAGAGCATGCAACCTTGATCCTTAAATTTGAAATAATTGAATAACTATTATTGAATATAAAAGCAAATATACTATATTAAAGTTTAGTAAAAGGATAAATATAGATAACTCAAAATTGGTTTTTTAGTTTTGCCTTTCATATTCTTTTAAAATTGGTTTGTTATTTTCCACTGAATTTTAGAGTCAAGGGTGTAAATATTAGTTATATAGGTGTAAATATGTGTTAGTGTTATGTGTTATTGTTATAATGTATAATATTGTTATATTGTTGTGATGTTTTGTATTGATAGACAGCTTGGCTTACCTTCCCGTTGGTGTCTATCGTTAAAAATGAATAATAGATAGTTTCATTATTGGAACTTGCTGCTTTTATTCATTTACTAAAAGCCAAGACAAAATCTTGCTAAAAATTCAATTTAAGTCTTTATTTGATTTTTTTTCTTTAGTATTGTTAATCCTTTAGTACCTCGAAAAAGATTTTATAGCTCCCTTTTCTATAAATGTTTATATTAACTGCAATATCAAAAGGTTACAAAAACAGGTAAATCGATTTTCAGTGTTTATATGTGGTGTATATATATATATATATATATATATATATATATATATATATATATATATATATATATATATATATATATATATATATATATATATATATATATATATATGATGTTATAATTCCGTTACTTTTTTTTATTTTAGATTTTACCATATGACGTATTAATACGATATTAAAAAAAAATAACTTGATTTCCTAAATTTGTAAAATTTTGTTCGTTTGTTAAAAAGATATAAAGACATTAATATTTTTTTTCCCGATGTTTTCCCTATCTTATGCCTTAATAATTCGTTGTTCGTATCTAAGGTGATCCTCGTAAACGGCGGGGGGTCGTAATTAAAAACAAACTTTAGAATTTTTAAAACACAGGGAGACTTGCAGTTTGTCAAATATTAAGTTGATTAGTTTAGTCTGCAATTGCAACACTTTTGAGGAAAGAAAAAATTCTTATATATGTAAATCGTTGTTTTACGCTTTATTATTTTGGTAAAAGGTCTTCATCATAAATAGATTACTCTTAATAAAAGAAATTCTACTCACATGGCTACCATTAAAACAAAAAAAGGGAAGTGGCTCTTAATTAGCGGAGATGTCAAAATATTGACGAAAGCGAAACTTCGAGTAATATAAGGAATATTTAGTAAATGGCAGCAAAATTTAATATATATCATGTAAATAAATTTTTTTAATGATTTGTAAACTTGATACTTGCTTTTTTACGGATTTTAAAAAAGTAAACAAAGGTTTAAATATATTTTTTAACTGTTTTTTATGATTTTATCAATTTTATTAAAGCTGAATAATTACTTCAAAAATATTGAGTAAAATCCAATTGCTTTTATTATTAACCTGATCTATAAAAAATTTAATGAAATAAAACTAATATTTTAACGCCAAGTTAAGGCAAAATGTATTTCGGACATTATATAAAATTAGTATAATTATGGATTGGATGTATGCTGAAATAAATATGTTGATACACGTTAGCCATTAAAGTAAATTCATATATTCCTTTATTTTTTTTTTATAAACAAGTTTCTGCCGGAATACTAATTTAAAAAAAGGTTGGTTTAATAATAATCTTTATCATGATAATATAGGATCCGTATGCAGGGCTAAGCCCTTTTCGGAATTGCGATATATTTTTCAACTTATACTTTTTCCGGATACCCAACTTCTATGCCTACAAGTTTGGGTAATATTTTAGATGTTTCAAAAGTATATTAATAACATTGAAAAGTTTAGGTGCGATAGTGACATATTTTTAAGCTCTTCACTCAGTAAAATAAATAGTTGAAAAAAAAAAAGAAACGACTCAGCTTAAAGAAAAAAAGAGTAGAATATATTCCCAATATTTACGTAAACAATTTTACGGAATTTGAAAATTTGACATCGATATTCTGTGCATATAATTTAAGTCATTTTTAACTACTACATGATTGTGATTTGCGCATTCAATGTCTGAACATTGCAAAAGAAATGGTTAACTTTATCTTGAATGATGCTAAGAGTTCTCTTACACTAAGAAGCCAAAAAAAATAAAAATGAGCTCAACTAAAAAAATGTATAAATAAATTTATATTTCATTAGAGAAAGTAAATAAAGATCAAATTGTTAGTAATGATTTATTTACTACTAACCCGTATTACGGGTTGCTTTCTGTATAAATAAATTTATATTTTATTAGAGAAAGTAAATAAGTATCAAATTGTTGGTAATGATTTATTTACTACTAACCCGTATTACGGGTTGCTTACTGCTAGTATTTATAAATACTGTTTCAAATAAATTTGTTATTAGTTCATTGCTTTAAAAATATTTTAGAAATATTTTTTTTTTTAAATTTAACTAGAGCAACATTTAAACTAGGATCTCTACCTTGACAAAATTTAACAATAAAGACTGTTAAAACACTCAGGAAACAAATTTAATGACAGAATTTATGTTTTAATCTTTACTTTTATATCAAAATATTATTTTTTTCTTTTTATTGATTCCTTAGTAAGACAAGACCTTTAATATTGAGTATTAAGTTTAAAATGATGTTCATTCTTTTTATAAATCATATTTATATTTTGAAGATAGTGCCAGCTTCATAAGTTAGAATCATGGGAACTTATTATGTCAAAATAGTCAAAGTTTTTAAAGTAGACAATATTTACCTACAACCCAATATGAAGTATTCATTAAACCTAGTCTTATATTTACAATAAAATCTTTTGCTTGCAACTTACCTGACGAGCATGAGATGTATTCTAATTATAACCAAGTAGTTAAAAATATTACTTTCTCGAGTATTATTACTCTTATGAACTTACTTATCAACTTAGGTTGCATCATCATTGTTCAAACTGTTTTAAAAAGCATATTTTTACAAAGTTTTACAACCCAAGTACTTCATCAATATCTACATATGAGAGGGAATTTAACAGGTCAACTTCGTGTTTTTGATAAAATCTGGTGTAATAACGCTGTAATATGAAGAGATAAAAAAATCATTAAACCTGCTTTTTTAAAAGCTCCTATATTCTTAATTATGTCACATAGATAATTATGTCTCAGCAAATGTAAATATAATAAAGAAATCAAAGACATATATAAACTTATGAGACGGGATGACGAACTTCATAGAAACGTTTTTATCATGTCTACTAGCGACAAATATAAAATATTTAAGAAATCACCACGCATCGTCGCTTTGCAAATATTATCTACGCTAAACCTAATATTGAGCGTTTTGGGTGGGAGTTAAGGGAAGCATTACGTAAAATTAGATTACTTTTTAAAATTTGGATATACTAAATATCCAGAAGTTTTTTTAAATTACTGAACTGCAGCCGTATTCTCCGCTAAACCCTGCGATATGCTACAACTCGTTCAATGTAAAACGACCGTTTTTTACGCCAGCGATAAAATTAACTCATATTCTAATGTCTCTGTTTAGTTGACGGCTGAAATAAATTTAGTTATTGGAGGCTGTTAAAACTAAAATCTAACCCTGCTATACTCTTAGTTAAAACTACTACCCAGACAGCAAGCTTACAATGGCCCAACGTAAGTTTTAACATTAGCAAATTTATTCCGTTGGGCCAACATCTAGCCATTGTTTTTTAAGACGTATTATTTTCAAATCTACAAATCGGTTTTTTGTTAATATCGTACTATGTTGGGCCAGTATTGAGCTAAAGTAGTATCGGCTTGATATTTTGCTAAAAAAATCTGTTCTTACACTAATGCCGTAGCCAACATTCGGCCAATGTATTTACGGATTAGTATATTTTCAAACTTGTTGCAAACATTTTTAAAAAATTGTTTTACAAAATTAAAAAAGTTTTTGATATTATCTTTCCATTTTTTTTAAATTATAAAAGTTTCTGTAAGGAGCTTACATAACCTATTGCTTTATGGACCATTCGACATCTGAATTACTTTCTTTTTTTCATGTTTTCAAACAGCAACTGTTAAATTTAAAATAAGACATTTAGATGTGATTCACCTAATTACAACAAAATAACTGTCTACTAATTTTCTTACTAATGATAATAGCAGGAATAGACATTTCTCTATTTCAATTGCGCAACTAATTTCTCAGCTTGAAAAAAGAGGACAGTAAGGACAAAAATATAAACAAAGTGCTGCAAAATAAAAAATGTCTCATTCCAACTCAAGCATTACCAGACCAAAAAAGGTGAAAAAAGGCGGAAGAGGAATGTATTGCTGTATACAACTGTGTGGAAGTTCCTTTTTTAATAGCAATATGGAAAGACTAACATTGGTCTATTTTCTTTCCTGAACGAAGAGAAAAAGCCAGATGTTCACAGAGCTTGGTGTAACGAAATGTTTAAATATAGATGTAAAGGAAGTGCT